ATACGAGCGCTTCAATACAACAATGTTGTCGAGAACAACAGATGGGGTAATTACGTAAATTGGAAGTTGTATCCTTTATTTGGTCTCTTGGAACACAGAAAGGTTTCCATAGGTTTACCGTATAAAATTCATTTGCAAAGAGAAATCAACGACAACAAGATATTCTTTGGTGAAAACAACTCTGACGCAAAATAGGAAATAACGAATATCCAACTTTACATACCGGTAATCACTCCTTCCGTAGAAGTGGAAACGAGAATATTCAACTCTTTAACCAAAGACATCGAAATTGCTTTTCTTCGTCGTAACACGGTAGGTAGCATGACTTTAACGGGAGAATCCACCACGTGGCCAATCACCAACACCGTCAAACCAGCGAGATATCTAATGGTCGGTTTCAAAAACTTGCCAGACTCTCAGACAAACAACAACAACATTTTCAGAGTGGCATTGAACCATACTCAAGATCCCATCATTCGCAAAGTTCAAGTCAGATTGAACAACGATAATTATCCCAATCAACCTTTGACAATTGATCCTTCCAAAAAAGATTACAACGAATTGTACAGAAACTATAAAAACATGTGCGAATTGTTTGGAAATACGCCTCAGTTTGAATACACAGATTTTTCACTCAATCATCCAATCTTTTGTTTCGATCTGTCAGCTCATCAAGAAGATCTTTTCAAAACAGGGATAAACATAAATATTCACATCGATAAAACACAAGGAGATGTGACCGGCTACTGTTTATTGCTGGAAGAAGCAAAACATTTGATTAAAATATCAGATAGAAGAATGATAAGAATTGAATAAAAAAAACACCCTTTAAAAATGAAACCAGAAACTTTAGCTATGAAAATAATAGAAGCTGTGAAACGAATTCGCCGACTCTAATAACTTACAACGGTAAAAAAGTGCATATAACCCAAAAGATTATCGATAAATACAAACATTGCAAAGTCAGAGACGATATAGACTTGGAAAGAATTGATGAGAATTTAACTAAAAAAGGTGAATTTTTACCTTTCTTACCTTTAATCTTTGCTAGTTTAGCTGCAGCCGGTGCAACTGCTGGTGGAGCTGCTGGGATAGCCAAAGCTGTCAACGATAAGAAAGCTGAAGCCGCTGCAAACGCCAAAGCACGTAGACACAATTTGGAAATGGAAAGAGAAACACGAGGAGGTTCGGGAGTAGGAGATATATTAGGGACGGTTAAAGAATTCGGACAAAGATTTGGCGAAGAAACCAAGAAAACCGTTAAAGAGGGATTAAGCAAATTAATAGATAAAATCGACACCGGAGAAATGAAGGTCAAACACAAGGGCGACGCCATATTTTTTAAAAACATACGTTCGGGCGAGGGAATCTTCCTTTCAAAGTATAAAGGCAACGGGGTGATTTTTGGTACGAAAATGTAATAAATAAAAATGGGCAAAAAATTTAATCATTCAGAAATATTTCCTAATAACCCAATGCTCATGTGTATATGCGGTAGTTCAGGTTCTGGGAAAACTCATCTCACTTTTAACATGTTGACAACACCAAACCTTTTAGATTTCGATTCTCTGTATATCTACACAACAACACCAGAGCAATCGTATTATCAATTCCTCAAAGCTTTGGAATATTTACCAAAGAAAGATGTTCAAGACATATTTCAATATTACGAAGAAAACGAAGAAGAAGTGGAAATGAAAGATATCATAGAAAACTTCATTAAATCAAAGAATCCATCTTTCAATCCAATGGATATAAAAGTTTTTCTTACGAAAAATGTTAATGATCTAGACTTGTCTAATATTGATAGCAATCGAAAGAACTTAATATTGTTTGACGACTGCGTAGCGCAAAGAAATCAAACTGTTCAACAAGAATTCTTCACCAAAGGAAGACATCACAACTGTCACTGCATATACCAATCCCAATCTTTTTACGGGATGGATTCTATGTTCATTAGAAAAAATGCAAATTGTTTTTTATTATTTGAATTAAACGATAAAGATTTATCTCAAATCATTCAGTCGATAAATCACGGAATGGACAGAGATACATTCAAAAAGGATTGTAAAGCACAATGGAGAAACCCAGATGATCATGGATATGTATTCGTTAATACTAGAAAACCCGCGGGTGAAAGAGTTATGACAAACATTTGTTAAATTTTTTTTTTAAAAAATGACGGATTGGAATAATGTTTTAAAAAGAAATAGAGAATATATCAAAGCTAAGAATAAAATAAAGACCCAAGTTGAAAATAACAGATTACAACAACTCGGATTAACGGAAAATCTACAGACTCTATTTCAACCCATATTAAAATCTCAAGAGGATATTAAAAAGAAATTAGCTTTAGAACCCACACCTCATATAGAACACCCCAAAGCGATTGAATATGATGGTATTATAATTAGGACATTAGATGATATAAAACGTCTTTTTTCAAACCCTGACCCAGATTTACGAAAGAGCATTTCACCAATCGTTGATAATCAAGGTTTATTGTTTAATGGATTTAGAATTATATTTAGTGGAAATTCACCACAATTCAAAATCGACACAAAAGATTATATATACACATTAACGAAAGGATTAATAGATTTAATGAATGGCAAGGATGTTGGTATTGCCGATTATAAGGATTTAGTAGCATACTCCAAATTTTTAGATGCAATAAGAAAATCAGGACCCGAAACAAGAAGATTGAAAGAAGTTAAACTATATAAAAGAGTAATTGAGCAAGATGAAGAGGATGTAGATGATTATCCAATCATACAAGAAATAGACGAATTCGATGATATGGTGGCATCTGGACAAGGTATAACGTTTTTATCCGACGACAATAAAGAATTGCTTAATAGATTAGAAATAATATTAGCCGCCATGAAAGAAGGTCATCGATCGGACAGAAAATACAACGAAGTCAATGCCATATTAAAACGACTTTTGGAGAAAGAAATCATCACTAAAAAAGACTATATAAACGTCATTAAAAATGTCCAATAAAGAACAATTGTTCGTTATCACCTCGAATAAACCAGACATCAAATTGTCTCTAGACTACGAGTATGAACTCGATCGCAATAAACAGTACGAACTGGGATTAAAGTATTTCTCCGTTTACAATTCCATTAGAAACATCAACGAAAAAAACAATCAACTAAAAATATCGACGGATAACGGAGTTACGTTCGAAACCATAAGCTTACTACCGGGGAGCTACGAATACGTAGCCATCAACGATTACCTATCCGAATACGCAGGAAGCGTGAACGGCAAAAACAATATCGAATTCGAAGGTAATCTGAATCTGAACAAAATAAAACTGATCTTGAGAAATAACAGTCAAGTCGATTTCAACGTAGAAAATTCGTTGAATGCGTTACTAGGGTTCGATAAACGAATATACGCGCAATCGACATTGGCGCCGCACAAGGCCAACATCGAGAACAATATCGATGTGATCAACATTCACTGTAATTTGATCAACGGTGGATTTGTCAACAAGCACAAACGCCAAATCATATACAGCATACCGACTTTTACGGTGCCGATCGGATACAGAATTATAGAGAAACCGTTTCAAACGACCTATTTACCAGTCAATTCTTTCATGATCAAAGATATAAATCTGGAAATCAAAGACGGTAAAAACAGGTTCATTGACTTTGGCAACGAAGAAATTGTCATTCAACTTCATTTAAAACAATCTTCATTCTCTTCTTGATTAGAAAGATAATCGAAATCATCAAATTCATAGTTTTCGTCAAAACTATACTCATCTTTGTCGTTGTAAGGATACATAATTCCTTCACTGTTTGGTGGTTTTCTTTTAACATTATTCAAATAACTTCTAAAAATTTAGTTTGTTTATCATTTGGAATAACTACTCCATTGGTGAAACTTTTTTCCCATGGTTTATTAAATTCGTTCGACACATCATGTCCGCTTGCTAACTGAACGTAATCTTCTACACTTATCTTATCATTAGAATAACCTTTAAACGTTTTCTTTTCTTTTAAGACACCATCAGAAGTCAAAACGATGTTGTATTTGACTTCTGGTGCTAAATATAAACCAAATATAATTCCACCGTCACCGTAATCGTTTTTACCTTTGCAATAGTCTTTTTCGGAGACCAAAACAGCTCTGTTTAGTTTTTTCCAATTTTTGGATGAAATGTACAAACTATCGGTGTCGGTATAGTATATTTCGGGTTTATAAAATCCATTTATGACGTGAATGAAATTGTTCATTATTTTTTTACTGTGAGATAAAACGAATGAACCCAAATGACTAGGTGTTAGTCGTGTAGATTTACTATCTTCGATAGTAATCTCTTTATCTTCAATTTCTGTTTCAACAATATATTGAATATCATTAATTTTGTCATAGGTTTTAACGCGTGAATCAAAGTTGGCCTGTAAAGTTGCTTCATTCCATAAATGTCTAGTTGTGAATATATCTTTCTGAATTGATTTACCATACAAGGAATTACCTAATAATTTCATGCAATTACTACCCACGATATTACCTTCTCGTTTATATTTATTTCTTAGATCTCTCAAAATTAAAATATAATCTCTATAGGGTGGAGTTTTAAAATTTTCTTCGTAAACTATACCATCTAATATTCTAATAATTCGTCCACCGGCTTTCACTATTTCTTGAATATCGACCGATGTTAAAACGTCGTGACAGAAACCATTTCTGAACCTGATTTTGTTACCAGTTTCCTTTTTACCTTCTTTATTCGTGAAAGTGATTTTATCTTTAGCTGGTATCGGTTGGAAGAACATGTTTTTGGGATAGTCAAACCACACTGTTAAAATAGCTGTTCTAGGTCTGAATTTTTGTTTATTGAAGAGTTTTACAAATTCTTTTTCTTCTTCTGGTAGAAACGGTCTTCCACTTTCCGCTCTCGGATATTCACTGTCTAAATCCGACATGGCGGAAGCGTATAAACCGTTAGCATCAAATGCCATTAGTTTAGTACATTCTATTTTTTTAAGTCTCGAATGAACCTCCGTTTTGTCTTTTGTGCTTGCGCTGTATTCTTTGAATGAATCAATTATNGTATTACTTTCAAGNTCTGTATATTCCTTTAATACGTTACAAATTTCATCCATTTTCAAATGATTTTCTATTTGCCGAAACTCTTCCTCCTTTAATAGATCGTCTGATAAAATTTCTTATAAAAGGATTAGTGTGCGAATAAACTTTTTCTACGTTTTCTTTTTCGGTATGTTTCGCAACCATTCTAATAGTTTCATACCATTCTTCTTCCACCATTTCTTTATCGTAATGATATAAATAATACCAACCCTTTAAAGATAAAGATGGAGCCGTTAGATTATTGGACATATTCTGGTTTACAACTTCTTTCGTCACTTGGTTGTATTTTATCAAACAAGCTCCCAAACAGAGAGTGTCTCTCTTGGCGTAAGGTTCCCATTCGTGTCTCAATTCCCCCCAGTTGTCTTGCGTGTATTTAGCTATATCTGCGTCGGCAATCTTTCTCAAATTCGCGGGGAGATTGGAAGAATTTCCCCATGCAGCCAAACTAGAGGATTCGTGTTGATAGGAACACGTGAAATTAATATGTTGTAAATAATTACCCTTTATTTCTTTCTGTCTTTTCCATTTTTTCTGTAAATCTTCATCCGTGTATGGATTAGATAAAGGAAAAGATAGAATTCCTCTGGGTGTTTTTAAAGGGCAATGCGTTAGTTTTTTTGCATTTTTAAGCACGATCCAGTTGTCGAATCCACTGCCGTTATGAGAAATTAATATTAATCTCTTTCTATCATATTGACCTAAATATTTCAACATTTGATCGATGCAATCTGTACCTACAAATATTTCTACTACATTCATTAGTTTATCATATAATTCTTCTGGAATGGGATCTGTAGGCTTTAAATCTGGAAATAGATTATTTATTCTGTTTAACATTTTCCTTAGTTTTTCTAAATTAATTAAAGTGCAACAATATGGAATTGCTCTTCATGTGTCTTTTTCTGAATACGTTTCGCAATCCCAAGCGAATGACACATCATCGCTCATACTCGAAAGTGCGTTTAGTTTGAGGGGTGAAACCTGTGTTACTGCGTTGTCGTCTCTACACGTTTTCCACACCTGTTCGTAATTCCCTTCTATTTCTTGAATTCCCAAACTTTTTTGGCTTCTTCTAATCAAACAGAAATGCGAGTTGTGTAAGTAAAAAACCCAATCTAATTCATCGTGAACGTCTCTGGGATGAAAATGTCTGTTTTTGGGATTATAAATTTGAAACGAAGTGTTGAATTTCTTGTTGAATTCCTTCATTCTAGCACAAGTCATCACTCCTTTTCTATTTGCTTTTGAAAACCCGTTGATGTATTCTTGAAATTCTCTGTGTAGTCTTCGTTTAAAACACGATTGACGCATTTGATAAAACAGTGACCATCTGTAGGTATGTAACAATTTTCGCCTTCGTATTCATTTATCTTTTTAAGTAGATCAGTTCCTCCTCTACCAACTCTCGACCTTTTTATTTCTTGGAAATTGTCTTTCATTAAAATTATTTTTCCTGTAAAATACCAATCGGAAGCATCGGATTTTTTGTCCATATTTGAAAAGATATTGTGAAAAGTTTTGGCATTGAAACCGAGGAGTGACATGTATTGTCTGTGATTCCCTTCCTCGACTATCTCTCAATCTATTTTAATTTGTCCTTTGAATGTTTTAAATTTATCAGAGATAGCCTTAATAACATCGGAAAATAGGGCGTTTACTATCAATGTTTCATCAAGTTCGATTTTATTCATATTTTTTTAAGTGTATATTTTTGATTATTTCTTTATTTTGACCGCTGATATTTCTGTATGGAATTTGTCCAAAATTTCATTGAATTCTTGTAATTCTTCAACTGTTATGTTCTTGTCTTCTCTCGATCTTTCGAAAAAAATGTACAATTGATTAAGATACATATTCAAGATTTCTGTTTTCTTTTTATAATGAGCTTTCTTTTTGCTCATGAAACCTATAGCAATCAAGCCACAAGATGAAGTTTGAATAGCAGTAATTGTGGCTAATACAGTTGGCACAAGTACAGGAACCATTAATCCACCAGTCACGGCCGTTGCAAGTGTTGTTCCTATCGTTAGAACTACACTCGCTGTTTTGAAAACAGAATCGATTCTACTCCATGTTTTCCTGCATGAATTGTACTGTCTCAACTTTATTTTCAACTCTTCTTGTTTGTCTATCATGTATTGTTGTCTGCTTTCGAGTTCCATTTTTTAAGTCGTTAAATTAAGTGAATTTCCGATAAATAGAACCACGGAATATCAAATAGAGTGATGTTGTTTGGCCTAGCATTATTATTAAATTTTCGGGTATTAAAAGTAAAAACATTTACGCGTACTAACGACATTTCTTTTTTCGTATGGTCCTCTTTAAGATAATAGGAATATTTTCTTTTTTCTTTTTCGATGTTTATCTTGGTTTTAAATATATAACCACCACCTTCAAGGATGGAGTCGGAACCTTCGGCAAACGATAAATGTACTATAAACTCTCGTTCTTGTTGACTTTTATGAACATCGGTAGAGGTGTATTTTTCACCTAAAGCGAAATACAGTTTTACGTATTCAAAGTCTGTTGTTCGTAAAAACTCGTGACTGCTCGATTCTATTGGTCCGGGTACGTATACGGGTATTATAAATGGAATTTTGACAATGTTGGTTAATGGTGGATTTTCCGTCTCCAATATCATATCCAAATCTTTGATTCCAATGATATCCTTATCATTTTCTACTTCCATTTTAAAGGTGTCTACATATTTACCATTTTTCGTTTCAATTTCCTGATCCCTTTATCAATCAAACGTATATTCTCTTCCAAATTACCATCATTGAATAATGAAATATGTTTGACGGCCTTACCGGTTTGTTTGAAGACTACTTTATTGACTCTAACCTTCATGGGAAACTCTATTTGAATCAGACAATTACCTCGAAAAGTAAACGCTTCCGTTTCGCCGATATCGAATACGTTTTTAGGTTCTCCGTCTACGCGAGAACCCACTTTTATTTCTGCTTTGAATCCGTATTTGTTTGATTTATAAATTTGGTCTTTTTCATCGAAGACAGTGTCACTTTCGAATGGAAGATTGAAATAATACGATTTGTCCGTGACAATAGCTTCTAATTTGCTCAACTTTCTCTCTTGTCTCAAAAAATCGTCATGAATTCTAGAATTCTTTTCAATCTATCCTCGTTTACATTTGGGTTGTCTATTAAACGTTGGACGTCTATTTTTACCTTCGTAATCTTATCGTCTAATTTAGATATTAAATTTTGCAACTGCTTTGTTTTATCCACTTGAATAAGACGTTTCAAACTCGTTAACTCTTGTTGTAGTTTGGGTTCGTCC